GCTGGGGGCTGGGGTATATTTGTAGCAATAGCCAAAAATACATTGTATGGGTCAAAATTATAGATTTTTTTCTTTTATGCCAAAAATCATTAGGCTATTAAGTAAAGATTATGTTCCATGAAGATATTTTGTAAATTTGCTACTGTAAATATATCAAAACTTAATTTTTGATTAGTAATATGCATTGCTAAGAACTTCATTTGGACAACTTTAAAGATGATTTTCTCAATATTTTGATATTTTTGCACCGTCAGATTCCAGATTTTCTAATAGTTGTATCTCGGCCAAATATTGTCCTATCATAACAAACCATACATCAATGGAAAGCTTATTTATTCAGCTTTCAGGTGATGTATAAATCTCAATTTTGAAAAATTGACACTTAAGACTGGATTTGTGGTCCAGGGTCACATATAAAATATTACATGAAAACTAGATGAAATTAGAAATGTTGCCTTGGGAACTAAATGGAATGCGTTTAAGCTTTAAAGCACTAAAACTACTAACTGGAAACAATTAAAATCTAAATCTTAACTCAAATTAAATTAAATAATAAATAGTAATATTTTTAAAAAGTAATATGGAAAAGTATAAACATGTCAAAAGCACACAACAAAATTACTAAAAATTTGATTAAAATAAAAAAATATAAATAAAAGGTTATTTAAAATGTCAATAACAACTATAGTAGTAACTATTTTGTGATATTTTCTTAAGCAAAAAAAAAAAAGGTCTGATTTAGCTCATGCAATCTTGCCTTATTGGCCCTTCACACAGAGCTTGGAAAATAATAAAATGATTTCATTTAGGAGAACTATTGGGTTCAGCTAGTGTGCAAAAACTCATTGTGCTTTTGTTCTGGGCAATATCCAACTGGCCAGAACTTGGAGCCTTGTAACCTTTTTCAAAAAGCATTATGAAGAAACTGCAAATTCAGATTTCACTCTCTAATCTAATTCAGGACATCATATTATTAACTGCTCTTGTATAAAATTTATTTCTAAGCATAAAACCGTTTAATAAAATACTGTTATAAAACTGTGATGTGAAATATGTGTTATAAATCTGTGCAGGGCCCTGATGGAGGTGTGTATGCCATGCTAAATGCCTGTTTTTTTTTTTAAATATATATCTGTATATTTTCTGTAATCTTGTTCTAATTGCTGCCTTCTTGTGTTTATTTTCTTTCTAAAATCATTTTACAATTGTATTTAAAAAAAAAGGCATTTCACAGAATAAGCACAGTGCAGACTAATTTGCCACAGGCTTCATTAGACCACAACAAAAGAGGTCCTTTAATGTGGAGTTTTCCAGCAATTTCTGAAAACGTTCGGCAGGTGTTGTATGATGAGGTAAGTCTCAGTTTTAGCGGATTTGACTCTTAATTTAGAAGATAGAATTAATATTTTCATTGCAATATATGGTTTTTGCTTTCTTGAACACGCGTGCTTGTGTAATGCAAGAAAAACACCAGTTGATCCTGATGAATAAGGTCGAATAAAAGGCTCTTGATAGATGTTATGCACTAATTTAAATCGCTGTTAACAACAATATTTACTTCTGATGCGTTGTTTATTCACTTTAATCGTGTTGAACGCAGTTTGGGCTGTAGAGTGCCGTACCGTCCATCACCACTATGTGTCGCTGTAGGCGAGTTTGTGATGTGGCTAATGTTCTGATGTAGTTTTTTTTAATGAATTATTTAGCTTATATCTTAATATATCACTAATGAGGTTCATGTCTGGAGTATGTCTCACAACTGTTCGTCACTGCTAGCCGTTTTAATTGATATCTCTCGTAGCATTACTTGTGAGATTTTTCATAATGTGTTTTCCCCTTATTTCCATCTATATAGTTTCAGTTTTATCCACATAAAGTTAACGGAAATTCTGGAAAAGAAGTACATCTTGGTTGTTTTAGCGATTGAGCTGCTTGCCTAAATTGTTAAGAAGTTTCGGACTTTGTGGCGTGATGACGAAACCGGAAGTACTGTTGTACTTTTTTTTTTTTTTAATCTGGTTTTATTTTGCATTTCAACATTAACAGAACAATATAAGACAAAATAAGTACAACTGTAAGTCCTCACAGACTGAGACATTCTCATTAATCATACTATAACAGAGAAACAAAACAAGAAATCAAAATAAAATACATTCATACATTAATAAACAAGGTAGGGGTTAAACAAAATCACACTCATTCATTCATATATTCATTTTATATGGTAGTGCTTAACACTACGGATGCAGTATATTTTTAGCCACACGTAGATTTCATGGCGCCGTTTCAACTTTTCCGTGGCGGTAATCAAGGCAAGCAAAGACTATAGAATACCAATAGCCTTAAAGGGACTTTGATTCAAGTCTTTGGTAGCACAACAGTTATCTGTCAACCATTCGCTGTGGAGGAGAGGAGGCGCGTTTTACCATCGGAGATAGATTTGTTTACCAAATGCTTCACAGCATTTTGTTTTGTAAAACATATACTTACTGTGAAACTACCTCGGCCTAATGAACTAAACTATTATGCAATTGATATATAGATTGATATATATTTGAGGCATTTCTTTAGTCACATGTCTGTAAAATAAAAATGTTATTTCTCCCCGTCGGGGAATCGAATGAAAACACAACATTTATTGTTTAATATATTTCACAATATCCTTTCACAGACTATTATTGTGTTTAATTATCCAATTTTTCATAATAACAAGTTATTCATATATTATACCACTAAATTGCACACATTTTTTGTAATTTTTTTTTTTTGTAATTTAAATGTCATATGTGTGTAATATATTAATTACATTATCAGTACTACATCATATAGCACTGTTAACATACATATATTTTTTAAACATTTTATTTAAGAACATAGTAAGAGATCAATGATGAAACATTCACCTTTACAAACAAAGATACTCTTATAAAATAACAGCTGTATTATATGAGTTTTTATCTTTATAATAGTTTGGTTTACTGTATTTTTATTAGTTTGGTTTACTGTTTCCTAACGTCACAAACCATTCAACACAATTAACAATACGATTACATAATATACATGCAATTTAAATTATAAAATATATTAATGATAATGTATATGCAATACAATAAGTTAGTATTGCTAAAGTATAGCATTCAACTTACATTCTCGGTTTGTCAGCTTAATTGCGTTATTTAAAAACAGCAGTCACCATAGGTAAAATCTGTCTTAAGGTAGTTTAGACAGTAAATATTTGTTGTACAAAACAAAAGTTTTTTTGATCTGGCAATTCTGTAAACAAATACCTCTCCGATCGTAAAACGGGTCTCCCCTCCTCCACTACGAACACGAATGATTGACAGATGACACCGCACTTCTTAAATTCCCCGCCACGGAAAAGACGAAACAGCGCCATGAAGTCTACGTGTGGCCAAAAGTATATTGCATCCGTAGTGTTAAGCACTACCATAGAGAATGAATGGGAAAAGTTAAGGGAAGTTAAGCTCAACTATTTTCGGCTGCCGCGCGGATGCGAAAGGTCCCTGGTTCGAAACCGGGCGGAAGCATCTTGCAGCTTTTTGAAATAAACACATTACTAAAAACAGTTCTTTAAGTACTATTAGGAGTGTTCACCTGTCACATTGGAAGATTTTCTAAAAGAGGACAAAAAAATAAGCATCAATTGCCGGTTTCAGGGTCCAAATAGAAGACCAGCGCCCAAATTTTTGCCAGCACGTGTTTGTATTGAAAATTGAAATTGGCCGGGACTGATTGGGTTTTGCCTAACGGCTTGGACAAATTATCCTTAACCACTCCGCTCCAACCATTAGTCTGCTGCGAGGAAAAGATGGAGAGGAGGTGCGCTAAAATATTCAGTATTCCGTTTCAGTTGGAAATACGCCACAATACTGAGGTAAAGTAGGTTCCAACTTCCGGTTCATATGTACTTTAATATTATTCTACTAAACAGTTTCCAACATTTCAATAATAAAAGTGTCCATGTTTAAAGTGTGTGCACATTACTGCAAAGCACAACAGTTACACGCAACCGAGCTTGGCTGTCGTCAAAAAGGATTTATAAAACAACTTTTGGATGTATCCTCTCTCAGAGATGTGGATTCGGATGGCAATTAAATTGCCACACAGCCATGGTGTTTGTCAAAAAAAACAGTAGATAATTGGGACAGGAATTTTTATATGGATGGTGGGAGAAACGCACTGACATTCAGGGTTCGGACAGCAATAAAATTACAGACTAGCCCTGCTAATGTTTAAAATACAACACATACCCATTAGAAACTATTACCATCTGAATAGGGCTAAAGAATAAATTCTAAAAACCTTGTTTCCGCCCAATCTTCAACCGGGGAACTTTTGCATGTACGGCAAACAAACACAAACATGGATATAAACATAAACATATAAACATAAATAGGGCTGCCTGATAAATTGCGATTAACACTAAATCTCGCGTAAATTGTGTCTAGTGTGACGCTGATATCGCAACGGCTGCAAATAGGTTTTTATGCGCAGCTTGTCCGTGAAGCACAGCTCTTTGATCAATAGGAAGTGCTGCTCCGTCTGAAATTCACTATGAGTCTGAGTCGTTTATAATGTGGTTTTGTAAAAGCAACAATTGTCAAACATAAACCATGACTACTACTATGACTTGTAAGAGGACTCGCCATCTGTCCAAACCAACCTAGCAATAAGAGACACATGGTCTCCACACCTCTAGCATTTCTTCTTTAGACGTTTTGCCCCAAAGAACCGAATCTAAAAATCTCGTTTCCGTCCTGCCTCGAACCGGGGACCTTTCGCAAGTTAGGCAAACGTGATAACCACTACACTACAGAGACAACTGCTGCCGTCCCCTATCACTGCCCGGGGGTCTGTGGGGGAACTGCCGGGGGTTTGGGAGTTCCTGAAACGAAATCAAAATAAAACA